TTTCTATTTCAATGTCATTAGCTATAAATTTTACTTTATTTAATGTTAATTATTTAATTATGACTGTGCATGTATGTGTGTGCTCAGTTAGTCAGTCGTGTCCAACTCTTTGCAACCCCAAGGACTGTAGTCCACAAGGCTCCTCTGCTCATGGAGTATCCCAGGCAGGCAAAAATACTGGAGTGGGTTGCTGTTTCCTTCTCTAGGGGATCTTCCCGATCCAAGGATCAAACCAGGATCTCTTGTGTCTCCTGCATTTGCCGGCGGATTCTTTACCACTGTGCCACCTGGGAATCAAATACTAAACATCTAACCTTTTCATTCTGTTTGCATTCACCCATTTTTTATTTTTGATGTCTCATTGTCACTGATTTTGTTGTAGTTTTTTCTTTTTTTTTCATTTATTTTTATTAGTTGGAGGCTAATTACTTTACAATATTGTAGTGGTTTTTGTCATACATTGACATGAATCACCCATGGATTTACATTTATTCACCATCCCAATCCCCCCTCCCACCTCCCTCTCTACCCGATCCCTCTGGATCTTCCCAGTGCACCAGGCACGAGCACTTGTCTCATGCATCCAACCTGGGTTGGTGATCTGTTTCACCATAGATAATATATATGTTTTGATGCTGTTCTCTCGAAATATCCCACCCTCGCCTTCTCCCACAGAGTCCAAAAGTCTGTTTTTTTTTTGTTGTAGTTTTCAAAAACAACAAGGATGTATTTTAAAAATAAAACATAGTTTGATTATCTGCCTTTCTTTAGGAGAAAACAACCTTCTAATAATATTTACCAAAATGGTTGATGTGTGTGCTAAGTTGTTTCAGCCATGTCCAACTCTTTGGAACACTATGGCCCATAGCCTGCCAGGTTGTTTTGTCTGTGGGGTTCTCCAGGCAATAATACTGTAGTAGGTTGCCATGCCCTTCTCTGGCAGATCTTCCTGGCCCAGGGTTCAAACTTTGGTCTTGTTTCCTGCATTGAGAGATGGCTTCTTTACCATTAATACCACCTGGGAAGCTTATATTTCTTCTATCTCGTTTTAATTTTGCTCAAAAATTTTCTGGTTTGGTCAAGTTTTAGTTTATTCCTTTCTTTTCTTACATATTTGAAGTTTAATGGCTGTCAAATTTGTTGCTGTAATGCATTCACTGATTACCAAATTAAAGGTCAATTATATTCTCATCACTGAGGACACATGGTGAACAACATAGTTAAGGTGTCTGCTGTCATGAACTTTATATTCTGGTGAAGGCAGCTAGATTATCAGCCAATCAAAAAATAGGTAATAATTTAATAAATAAGAAACTATTAGATGAATACTGTAGAGAAATCAAATAGAGAAATATACTTAGGTGACAGGGAGGCTTAGAAGTACCTTCTGAGTTCTGCCACCTTCCCTGCTCTGTCAATAAAACCTTGATTAAAAAAAGGCAGTGGCATGGTCACCAACCTCTCAGAATTCCCGATGCTTTTCATTAGAAGTGTTTTTATTCATTTAATTAGTTTTTTTGGCCACACTGGTTGGCACGTAGTATCTTCTCTGTGACCAGGGTTCAAAACTGTGACCCCTGCAGTAGAAGCTCAGAGTCTTCATCACTGAATCATGGAAGTCCCCCAAAGCTTTTCCTTTGCCTTTCTAGACTGGCAAATGCACAGACTCTCTCTCTTTTCTTCCTCTCTTTTTAACATAATGTACATATGGAACTTGCATTGGGGAAAAGAGAACATGTGTCTTTCGGTAAGACTAATTTTTTTTTTTCCTTCAGCAGAACTGAATGTTTTTCCATTCTGACATTTCATTAATTTTGCTTCAAGGAAAAGAAATGAGTTGATTAAAAGTGGAAAAAATGACAGTAGCATATTGTGGTAATATATTTATTTCATGTCAAATTAAATCAATAAAAGATGTTAAGATTATCCTGTAATACTTTCATCATTTGTTGAGATCTTGAAGATTTTTTTTTAAGGAAGATGGCCAACAAGATGATTTACACCATAGTTGCAAAGTGCTGATTGATACTACAGCTTCTATTGTGACAAAATATTGTTATAATTTTAAGAGAATGCAATACATTAAGATCAGAGCAGTATAGTTAATGGAGACTTAAAATTTATCTACTTAGCACTATAAGACATAAAAATCTTGAACAGTTGAAGCTCTTATGTCACCATTAGTAAACCTTAATTTTTTATAGTGTTTGCAATAGTGTTAAACAATATTTGCAAAGGTTTAACTATTAATTTTCCAGACAGTTGTCATTAATGATTCAGTTTTATGAAACATTGGTTTTTTTTAACCCTTTAAAAAATCACTGGGATAATTTTTAGAGTAAAATAATATAAGAGCAATTAAAATTATCTTAAATTCTTACCTGGCTAGCACTCAGTTCAGTTCAGTGCAGTCGCTCAGTCGTGTCCGATTCTGCAACCCCACGAAACACAGCACACCAGGCCTCCCTGTCCATCACCAATTCCCGGAGTTTACTCAAACTCACGTCCATTGCGTCAGTGATGCCATCCAACCATCTCATCCTCTGTTGTCCCCTTCTCCTCCTGCCCTCAGTCTTTCCCAGCATCAGGGTCTTTTCAAATGAGTCAGCTCTTCACATCAGGTGGCCAAAGTATTGGTTTCAGCTTCAACATCAGTCCTTCCAATGAACACCCAGGACTGATCTCCTTTAGGATGGACTGGTTGGATCTCCTCACAGTCCAAGGGACTCTCAAGAGTCTTCTCCAACACCACAGTTCAAAAGCATCAATTCTTCGGTGCTCAGTTTTCTTTATACTCTAACTCACATCCAGACATGACTTCAGGCAAATATTTGTATGTCTGTGCAACTCTTAGAGAAAATCCAGATTTGGCTTTACTCACTGTATTACATGATAGTTGGTTTGATGACATTGAAAACTGTTTGAGATACTAAGTGCTTAGAGGGGTTTTGATTATTAACTGGCAAACTTCAAAAGGCTTGGATGTTTGGTTTGGATAAAGCCTGATTAGTTTGAGATGGCTATTCAGATCTCCTCTCAAATCTCTTAGGGCTACTTTCCAGGTCTTCCCTATTCATTCTTCACCTGTCCTCCAAGAAAGTTGAGTTTCATGGTTTTAGAACTGCAGGTCCTAGATAAATATTCTTGAAGACTGTCTTTAAAAAGATTGACAAGTCATTTGATCCACTATTTTTTAGAACCTTTATATTCATCATCTTCATATGCAGATACTTTTCTTTTCCTGTTATCAGGATCATGGAGTTTTACAACTCTATGGGAAGCTTTGAGATCACCTAGTCAATTCAGCTATGTGCGTGTGTTAAGTCGCTTCAGGACTTCCTGGTGGCTCAGATGGTAAAGCATCTGCCTACAATGAGGGAGACCCTGGTTTGATCCCTTGATGGGGAAGATCCCCTGGAGAAGGAAATGGCAATCTACTCCAGTACTCTTACCTGGGAAATCCCATGGACGGAGAATCCTGGTAGGCTATAGTCCATGGGGTCGCAAAGAGTTGGACACGATTGAGTGACTTCACTTTAAGTCATTTCAGTCAAGTCCGATTCTTTGCGACCCCATGGACTGTAGCCTTCCAAGCTCCTCTGTCCATGGGATTCTCCAGGAGAGAATACTGGACAGGGTTGTCATGCCCTCCTCCACGGGATCTTCCCGACCCAGGGATTGAATCCTCATCTCTTAGGTTGCATTAGCGGGTTCTTTACCACCAGCGCCACCTGTAAAGGCCAGCTAGTCAATTCAGTTATACATGTTGGGAAAATGAGTTCTCTAAGCTACTTGGGGGCACAGATGGTAAAGAATCTGCCTGCAATGTGGAAGACCTGGGTTTGATCCCTGGGTCCAGAGATCCCCTGGAGAAGGAAAAGGCTACCCACTCCAGTATTCTGGCCTGGAGAATTCCATGGACAGAGGAGTCTGGTCCATGGGGTCGCCAAGAGTCAGACACGACTGAGCGACTACGCACATAGAGCTACTTTAAGATCAGTTGTTGAATGGAGTACAAGTAGTTCAAATAAGACTGTAGTAAGGGACAAATCAGATAATATATTAAAAATATCTGGCCATATTAAGCTATGCACAGTACACACACAGACACTTTTACTTCCTTCTTTTCACATAGAATTAGTTAGTAGATAAACGTGGACTGGCTTCTGCCTCATGAATCCTCTTTTGACCACAATTCCTAAAATCCTCTTCCTTAACTCTCTCTTCTAAAACCACTTTGTTCTTTTTTCTCTTTCTTTCCTTGATACTTATTTTTCTCTTTGCCTGTTCAATCTTTGCCTTTCTAGTCATATGGATTTTTATCATATATCATTTTCCAGGATTAATAGCCAGAATTTCAAGAATACAATCAATACCATATACTGCACACTTCTTAATAATCCATCTCAAAGAGATTAGCATAATGGAATTAAATTATATACTTTGTAATTTTTATGTTCAAATATATCCCATATAGAAATTATGTATATTATAGAGATCATTGAAAGCAAATATTTTTCCTTTGATTAGATTGATTGTAGAATATTTTCTATATATCAGCTATTATGTTAAGCCCTTTCTTCAATCATTTTTAAAAATCCTCATAGATTTCTAGTGAAACACATATTTCCTTTATTTGAAACACTCTGCTACCTGATAGTCACATAGGAGGTTTTTCCTCTGGTTTCACCTCAAATATCTTCTCAGAGAAGCTTCCCATAATATCTCATCTAAAATGTGTCCCAGGCTCTCTTTAACATGTCATTTACTTTTATTTCTTACTACCTGTCATATAAATATATAAAATTATCTTAGTCGCTTCTCTTGTTATTATTTCCCTCCACTGACAACTGTAATTTAAGCCCCATGATATCATAGATCTTGTCTGCCTTGTTCATTGCTGAATTTCCAGCACCCAGTATAATGCCAAGTACAAATGGATGATCAATGATTTCATGTTACTTCAACTGAACCAAATCTAGTAAGGTTGATTAACTCACTCAGTTAAAGAGCTAGTGAGGGGCAGAATAGTCTGTCAAACTCATGTTTCCATCATTTCAACATCCATGTTTCTCACCACAACTTTTGATTGATCTCAGACTATTTTTAGATTTTACCTAAAAAGAGAATGAAAACAAAAGCCAAAAAGCATTCTTCTGTAAGCCAATTCAGGATCACACACTTTCAAATATCCTAGACATAACTGTTACTACTAAACAGCCATGTGTGTTTTCCAGATTCTCGTATTTATTGCATACATATGTAATGATTTAATTAGAAGACTTTTGAGAGTCCCTTGGATAGCAAGGAGATCAAACCTGTCAATCTTAAAGCACATCAATCCTAAATATTCACTGGAAGGACTGATGCTGAAGCTGAAGCTCCAATACTTTGGCCACCTGATGTGAAGAGTTAATTTACTGGAAAAGACCTTGGTGCTGGGAAAGATTGAGGGTAAGAGGAGAAGGGGCCGACAGAGAGTAAGATGATTGATGGCATCACTGACTCAATGGATATGAGTTTGAGCAAACTCAGGGAGATAATGAAAAACAGGGTATCCTGGCATACTGTAGTTCATGGGGTTGCAGAGAATCAGGCATGACTTGGCAACTGCACAACAACAATTAGTCATTAATGGGACATTCATTTCTTCCCTTAGTTATTAGGAAACTTCAAGGAGATATTTTGGATTCTTTTTTTAATTTTGTGACCAGTGTTTGAACTCCTCTTATGTTTAATCATTCACTACTCTGTAGCTTACAAAATAAATTATAATAGTTAATTGGTCCAAGAAATTTTTGCATTTAATGTTTATGACATACATTATCAGGTCTGACTACAGTATTTGAATAATTTGTGAGGTACCCAAGCTTAAAATAGTTTCTTTAATAGTACCCTTAAAATAGTTTCTGATTTATTGTTATAACAATCTGGGAGCTGGAATTTATTGGTATTATGTTTTCAACGTCTCTGGTACCACCATGTTATTACTCAAAGAATTAAGATTTTAGTCTTTGAAGAACAATGTTGACATTTCCTTCTCTATAACTCATCTGTGAATGAGCATCAACCATTTATAAGGAGAAGGAATAAATTAGAAGTGTTATATATTACCATTAATTGAAAAACAGAAAGATATATTATTTCTTTTTTAAAGGAATTTTCTATAAATACATTTGCTTTATATTTTGCTAAGTTGCTTTTTCAAAACTGGAAATGATGTCATAGAAGCAATTTTAGTTTGAGAGTCTTTTCATAGGTAAACTAGAGAAGTTTATTAACAGATACAGATGTATAGGAAAGTTAATTATAACAATTAAAGCAGTTTAAATCTATCTTATTCACAATATTGGGGTGAAAGAAACTCAGAAAACATGTAATTCCAGCTAGTCAACTATATAAATATTTTCAATTGAGTTGGTAACAAGAGATTTTAAATATAATCTAAAAATGAAGATTGTAAAGAAATTTACCTCTGATCTCCTTTTCTGAACACTGATTTTTTATAAAAGTTTCATGAAGAAAACATTTGGATATATGTTATTAGGTCATTGTTTTTACATAATTTGTAGTTACTATAGGTAGATTCTGTTAAGAAAGATGCACGCTACAGGCTATCTATCTACAGGAAATAAAAAGCCAAAAACTTGATAGTCATATTATCTATCAAATTATAGATAGATACATTGATTATCAAGATAGTCATAACCCTGGAACTACAGGGTTTTCAGAAAGATTTAAAGGTTACATTTTACTCTAATTGACATTGATATTTTCCTCAAAATATTTTTAAATTTTAAAAATATTTAAAAAATCTATAACATACTTTAACTATTTTAAAGGAAATTAATACTGTTAAAAACTTATACACACGAAAAACATTTAAAGTATAACAATGATGGAGCATATTAGAGTGTTCAGGGCTTATTCGGTTTCCTAAAATAATTTAAAATTCATTAACCTGATTTTACTACGGAGATTTTTTTTACATGAACCTCTATTTTTTTTGATTTTTATAAAACCTATTTTAGAGGTTAATGTTACTATTTAGTGCTTGTAATTATATTTCAACATTGTGAGTTCTGCCTCTTTGTGAGATCAACAGTAATATTTTATAATTAATCCTGATGAAAAGTTATTTAATTATATTTCATTTGTTTTGTAAACTAGACTTAGCAACTGAACAACAACAAGCTTTTCCTAGTAGTAAGACAATTTTAATTTATTCAAGTACAAGAAGATATATATTTGCCAGCATAAAACAGAAGGCTAGTGATACAGGATTCATTTTACAAGCAGTGTGCTCATAGAAGCTATAGAAGAATTAAGGCCAACTAAAGTAATTTTCATTAGTTTTCTTGGTTCATCTGTATTTACACAGTAGCCAAACCAACTTTGTTTATAGCAGTATTAAAAAAAATTTCTATGGCTCACTATGGGACCTGCTCTTTCAAAGAACCTCAATAATAATGTAGGAGATTACAGGTTATTTGGGATAAACTCATTTAAATTGCTTATCTTGAGAAGGCTACTCTCTTTATGCTGAAAAGCATATCTCTCTACCCATGAATGTCTGAAAATCTGCTCTTTGCACTTCTATCTATAATGCTCAATGTTGAATGTATACATATTGAAGTATTATCTCCTCATACCCGTCAAAATGATGATCAACAAAAAGAACACAAATAAATGCTGGTGAGGATGTAGAGAAAAGGCAGCCCTTGTTCCCTTGTTCCACTCTTGGTGGGAATGTAAATTGATACATCCACTGTGGAAAACAGTGTGGAAGTTTCTCAAAAAACTAAAACTAGAATTACCACATGACTCAGCAATTCCACTCCTTTGTATATATCCAAAGAAACCCAAACACTAATTTGAAAAGATACAGGCACCTCAAAGTTCACAGCAGCATTATTTACAATTGTCAGGATTTGGAAGCAACCTAAGCATCTATCAACAGATGAAGAGATAAAGATGTGGTATATAAAACACAATGAAATACTACTCAGTCATGCTGCAGCAACTTGGATGGACTTGGGGGGATTTATGCTAAGTGAAATAAGTCGGACAGAAAGACAAATACTGTGTGACATCACTTATATGTGGAATCTAAAAAATACAGCAAACTAGAGAATAAAGCAAAAAAAGAATCAGACTCATAGAGAACAAACTAGTGGTTACCAGTGGGGAGAGGGGAAGGGGGGAGAGGCAATATAGAGGTAAGGGATTAAGAGGTACAAACTGTTATATAAAATCAGTTACAAGGATATATTGTACAATATTGGGCACACTGCCAATATTTTATAATAACTATAAAACAGCATAAGCTTTAAAAGTTGTTAATCACTATATTGTACACCTGTAACATATAATACTGTATATCAACTACACTTTGAAAAAAAAATGGTTGTAAAACTTAACTGAACTGAAGAAAGATAAAACTGACCATTTAGAGTGTTCTGGTTCCATTGCTTAAAATGATGTTATGCCATTCTAAAACTGTTTGGTGCTGAAATATGTTCAACTTCAGTATACACTTATTGAATTTTTCTTATATTGGGACACTAGATGAAAAGGAAAGGTCAAAGATGGCAAAGTTGGTCAGCACATATCTTTAACTAGAGTTGAGCATGTGAGTATGAAAAACATCAACTGTCATTCTTGGAAACAGAACTAACAACCATCTTAAGAGGTAGACTCAGATCAAATCAATAATGACAGCAAAATCTTATTTCAAATTTAGCTTCATTTGCAACTAGACTTTTAGATTTAATTCTTCTTTGATTTGTGTATTGTTTTTTGTTTTTTCCTTAGTTAATTTAATTATTATGCTTCTTTGTTGCTTCTTGCAGGGGACTTTTATGAATGATCTAGTTCTGATTTTCAGTGCACACCGTGTTCTTTTGAAAGATTGGATTAGTATATGTTATATTTTCTCCCTTTCCATTTCTTGAAGCTTACTATTTTAAAAGCTTTTGAAGATAGAGAAGCTAATGATTAATTACCTTGTTTATGAGTAAGGTTTAACAAATGTTGGCTGGTAGTAATAACCCATTAGTTATTAATGATAAAAAGTTGAGAATTTATATACTAATATCATGAATGCTCACTGAATTGAGAATGATACAGTCCTGAGGTTCTTACAGCTATAAGTTATTGTTGTGTCAAGTAATAAGGATCCCAGAATGAAAAATATGTTACTTAATTCCATAAGAAATACAAGTTGAAGCGACCAATTTTGTATGGCCTAAAACATCTGTCATTAATAGAGGCTATAGTAATTTTTAACTAGCTATATTAGTTTTTTAAACAGAGTTTCTAGAGATTAATCAAAATGACAAAAAGAGACTTACATTGCCAGAAAAAGATATGTTAATTAGTGTCTAATGAAAAGCTTTTGTTTTTAAATGCCAAAATATTTGAGCCAAGATTAAGAGATTTTCAGCCAAGATTAGATTATTTTCCAGTCATAAAATGTGTCAAATTGTAACTCATGTTTATTAGTATAGCTTTCATTTTTTTATAAACCTGAATAAAATCTATGTAGAATTGGCAAGTAATTTTAAAAGCTAAATATAACTCTATAAATTGTGATTTGGAATTTCATTTGGATCTTATTTCTTAAAGCCAAATAAACTCATACTTCATAGCTTTTAGAATTTATGAAATACTGGTTTAAAATTGGACAGCTTTTTGATTCTCTTTGGAATAATCCAGATCTCAAAGTAATCTATGTGTGAGAAAAAATGGACTATTTGAAACATTATGAAAGCTTTATGAGGTTTAATTTTCCAAGAGGAAGTAAGCAAATTTAACCTTGTATATCTAGTTGGCTGGGCTATATTTAAGATAAATTTCCAACCTCATAAAGATGCACCACATTAAAAAGTCCAACTTTTTTGACAATTAGCTTTTTTAATAGAAATTCTGTCAATTCTATTTGTTTCAATGTTTTGAATGCTGATGAGCATAAAGAAAATCTATATTTGAGAATAAAGTAAGTACTTTGAAACAAAATCCACATTCTATTACCGTAGATACTCCAGAAATATATCATAATAATTTTACTATTTCCTTCGGCTTATTTTGGCTCCTAGTTTGGTCTTCTATT